ATATAGTAATATTCATAGGTTCGTATTCAATTAGTCCGTCAAAGGATGACAAACTATTATCAATTTATGAGAAAAACACTTAAAGTGGCCTGAATTCAATCAGGGCGAACAATTGGATCACACATCTACAACAGTGGAGGTTAAAGTAATAGTTGTATGCGCATTCTTTTAAGAAACCAGGCCATATTTAACGCAGTATTATTAATAGTTGTATGTTTCAAAACAAACTAATACATTCAAAATCACAAGCAGAGTTTATTTTCTTCTTTCGCAAAAGAGAAAATAACTTGTTGCTTTGGAAAAAGTCTTTGAAGTCTTTTAACAATTACACCTAAAGGTTGTTTTAAAATAAAAATACAAAATATAGTAATTTTATTATTATTAAACCTTCAATAAGGTTCTTTAACAGATAAACACGAAAATGTATTTGTGTAAAAATATTTGGGTTTAAGACGTTTACATGCCACCCACTACTATTATTTTGACCGCTGCTTTATATCGCAAGCAAGGCGCTATATCTTTCGCACGTACTTATGCAAATTCAAGTGCAGCTGAGACCCCAAATAGTTTCAACTCAATTCACTTTAAGTGATGGAAGCGACAAGTGCAAGGCATTTCACTTGATTGCTGCGTTTTGCATAGTTTATTATTTATTTGATCATGCAACACATGGCGTATACGTAACTTAAACTAAAACAGCTGACAAAAAGTAAGAGCAAAACAGGGCGAAAAAGTGGGTGCGTGTGGAAAAAAGTAAACAAATTAAAAATTCCCAGTCGGGCATTTACTTTCCAAGTGACCTCGAGTGAAAAAAGAGGAATAAATGCATATACAATATATGTATCGCATGTGTATGCATATACAGCCCACATGACAACAAATCTGGGCTGCATTTTATATAAGCCATGGCCGGGTCAGCTGGCCCACAAAAACAGTTGAAAGTTGATAGCACTGACAGACAAGCATGCCATCCGTTCTATATATTTTTGGTATACTATATACTAACGAGCTATATGTATGGATGTGAGCAAGGTCAGCGAATAGGGAAAACTGGGTCAGCATCCAAATTGGGTTGCACTCAATGCTTTTTTATTGTCGATAAATATAGAAATTCATAAGGGGTAAGCACAAAAAAGCATTTATAACACAGGTGGGGTGTTGTAAAAACCTTAAAAAAAATTCTCAAAGCAGGCAAACAAAATACACACAAAACAAAAAAAACAGCTGATGACACACCAGTAAGGAAAAACAGGCGGAAAAGCCCATAACAACTGCAACCAAAGAGCTGGAAAAGCAATCATCACAGCACAAAACACACTTCTTTATGGCACATTTAGATAAAGTTCGCCCTACCATTTGTTTATATTTTTAGCTGGACTGGCGTGTAATGGATTTTTCTTTCACTTTTTCCTCAGTTGCGATGAAAAACCGTGTAAATGCAGAAACGCGAGACACGAAAAACGCAGGAGAGCTGCAATTTTCGCGAGACAACATCGATGACAACAGAGCGCAGAATGAGAACTGAGTGGAGAATCGAGAACTGAACGCTGCCAGAGCTCGAAAAACAGCTGGCCCCCAACAGCACTCTCTCTCTCTCTTTATTTCTCTCGTGAAAATGCATATGGTGGAGGCGGGGCAATGCACCCACACAAAGGTCGAAAAACAAAAGCTGGCTGAAAAGGTCTCAATGAGAGTAAGTCTTGAAGTAAAGGAGAGAGTGCAAATGGGGGCTACTGTCGAAACTAAATCTAAGAACTCTAGATACCCTTGCTGAACTATTTGAACTTAGGCAGGGTCAATCGGAAAATGGTATCAACATTTTTGTAGCTCAAAGTATATGTTCAGAAAAATAAACAAATTATTAATACAAAATAGTTTCAGAATTTTCTAAAAAATGAAAATGACTTTTGACGAGGTTTTTATAAAGCATATTACTCCAAAGAGTTGAGACAGCAGACTTGGAATTTATTTTAAAGCGAATATATTTGTTTCACTAATATATTCATATTATAGCACAAAAGGGCATACTTCTTACTAAAGGGTATATTGATAATTCCAATAACAGCTGTATAAACTATAGACCACCTCTCTCATTTTCCCATATCCTTCCCACACTCTCTTTTGTAAATCTGCAAGGGTTGCAATGCTGCCAGACTTTTTTGTAGTGCCCGTCAGCTGTTTATCGGGCAATCTGTTTACTTTCATTTGTTATTGGCTTTCGCATTGGCCTCTAGATAAGTTAAGTACTCTAAATACAAAATACCAAGAATGGACAGTCAGTAAGCCGAAAAATAAATAAGCAATTCGTTGCGATTAAAGCATAGGAGAACGCAATTAAAATGAGTCTTCGTTTCCATTTCCTCCGTTTTCCATTCCCAGCAACCAGAAAGAAATATCTATAAATTTGAAACTGATATGTATGGATCAACATTTTATCTATCATTATGCATAGATTTTTAACTTCATTTACATTTAATACCATTAAAATTAGAAAGTTTAGGAACTGATTTTATGAACAATTTATAATATATATTTTACTGTACCCTATTCACTATTTAATTTTAAAACTTTGAATAAAGAATTTTTACAAAGTCTTCTTTCATCTAATTTAATATTGTATTAATCCTTTTCAATCTTAAATTTAAAAAATGTACACAATGCTATGTAGTTACTTAAGACAAGACTTAAGATGTTAATCACAATGGAGTTTTGCAATAAATATGAAAATTTCTTACAGTGTCTAAGAAATTGGTAAATTCCGCTTAAGAGTTTATTTTCTGTTTGCTTATTTACTTTACATTGTGTGCACATTGCACTTGGCGAAGAATTTCGAATTTGTCAGAAGTCCTCACTTCGCAACTGGTCATTATCCGACTTTGGTGCGGGTGTTTTGTGGGGGCCTTAGGGGGTTAATGCTTGGGGGTGTGTTGTCAGCGAGTTTATTGCACTTTTGTCGCAAGACAAACATATAATTTTTTGAGGGAGGGTGTGAGACATTAGCCACTTACACTTTTACAAGCTCGGCAAAATCCCTGACGCCCCGACAAAGGCGATGACTCCTGTTCGTATTCCTTATTCCTGACTTCAAAGACAGGACAAAGAACTCGCTTTGCCATAAAAATCAACGAGATGCAGTCTATTTTAGTGGTGGGGCTCACGGGAGCCGGGGGAAGTGGAAGCGGCTGACTAACTGTCTGGGTGGGCAAACAAACAAAAGAGCAACAGCACGTCTTGAGCTTGTAAAAAAAAAGAGTGAAGAAAATACCCCAGGCTAACAAACAAAACCTAAATAAATTCTTGCAATCCCACGCTTTCAAAAATCCAGAATTAAACAAATATAGCTCGGTTCTTGATGAAATACCGTAGGTTTTAAAGACATTTTCTTAGTCAGCCACCTAGCAATCTGATTACTTTCTTTTGTTATTGTCTATCGCATTTGAGGTCTAGATAAGTTGAGTACTTTAAATACAAATAAAAATCAAAGTATCATCAGTCATTGAAAAAATGGTAATTTTTATATACATTTACTACTCACTATGTATTTTTTTTTCTCTTATGAAAAAATTCAAATTTTAAGGAGGCACCAATGATATACATTTATTTCTTGATTACTTATCAATCTCTTGAATACCCCTTGAGATTTTCGAGATGAGGGGAAGGTTAACCAGTTTAATTTTATATTTCTTAATACTTATGATAAAGATCGTATTTAAAGGCAAATAAGACTACAGAAATGACCAGGAAGTATGGGTGTTAATTGTCAGTTTTGACACCTAGATATTTCAGGACCACTTTGTTAACATTGTTTTGAAGAAAAAAAGATTTCGATAAAAATCAAATCTAGTTAGAAACGAAATTTTTTAAGAGGCTAAAAATATTAGCAATGCAACCAAGAAAAAAATAAGTCTACACAATTTAATACAAAATTGGAGTATTCATCAATTTAAATTAGATATTGTACTATCTTTCACCAAAGCAATTTCGAAGTTTAAAGATCACATTGTAAACCTTCTGGATTACTTACATCGTATCGATGATGATTGCGTCCCGAGTTGGTCATTTTACTCGTGGATAAATCTAGAGATCCAGATCCAAATCCAGAAATGCAATTTTTCCTTTCCCTTTCGGTCGTTTCTCAGTTCTTCCTCTCCCACGCTCTTCAGATATTCTTTGTTGCCCCCGCTCTTTTTATATGTGCGTAGGTGTGTGTGTGTGTGTGAGCAGGAAATTATGCGTCGTCTGCTGCTATTGTTGTTCTTCTTCCTCTTACTCCTTCTCTTCTCTGTCCACCGTTTATTTTTGTTGTTGTTTTTGCTGCTGCTGGTAGTTCTTTGTTTCTGATTGCGTTGTAATTGTTGATTGCACTAAGTTGTTGTTATTGCGGAGAGAGAGTAATGGTATCGGTGTTTTGCTGGTATTGGTGTTTTCCCTACATCACAAGAGATCTCTGTGTTAACTGCAAAAAACTGCAGCTATCCCGATATTGGCATTATAAAAACAAAAAACGGCAAAACAACAACTCGCTTCGTAATGCGTAAATACGTTTTTCCCGTTCTTGCATCTTTTTCGCCGTTCCTTTTTATGCAGATATTCGCTTGCCCGCTCGCCGCGCTTTTCTAGTTTCGCTTGATTTTTTCCCGTTTTTATGTAATTGCGATTTTTGCTGCGGATTTGTAATTGCAATATTGCACTGCCGAAGAAAAGAGAGAGCACAAAAACACAAAAAAAAATGTGTGACCGTTATGCACAAGCCAAAAAATCGTACAGAGGTCGGCACAATCAGCCGTTGGTGTGACCGAACATTCTATACTGAAGGGGAGAATCATAACGTTTTGTTGCCAGTTAAGAACTTTTATTTGGTAATATGAATCATCTTTTCTTAAGTGTTTATAAAGTTTTTGATAAATGATATAATTTTTATCTATTAAAATCGTTTGAGAATTTTTTATAAAAATATTTTTTGAACTGGTTCTTGAACTATTTTTTAACGATCTGGCAGCCCCATCAGCTGTTTCTGATTTTGTAATTCTGCACGCCGCTTATTTCGTGTTATTCCTAGTAAATTGCTTTAAATCTACCAAAAACAAAGACTGAAAACAAGATGTGGCCTATTGTAATGGCTCTCCTTAAGCGCAATGCTGTGTTCGTCACATTACCAATTGCAGGCGTGGTTGGTTTCATTGGTTATAATCTGGAGAGTTGGCTATCCGATAAATACACCCCATACAGTCGTAAGTTTTCGAACCGAACTTTCTAGTTAATATAAAAATAAATATTTGTAATGCCCCCACAGCATCCATACAAGAGTTACGCGCCAAACGCTTGACCGAAGAAAGTTTGAACTCGAATGCCGCCAATGTGGAGAAATTACGACTCAGTAGTCCTGTACTTGAACGCAATCTTTCACCCTCGCTGCAGCCTAAGAACTAGTGGTATTAGCAACCTTGAGTAGTTATCTGTATAGGAAAGTTATCAATAAAAAAAAAGATACGCCAAAAAAATTACATGAACTTGTAAAGTTTCATCCCTTGCGGGGATCGAACCCGCGACCTTTGGATTAGAAGTCCAACGCGCTATCCTCTGCGCCAAAGGGACAGGTGGTGGACGGCTTTCAAATGACTCATACAAGATAAGGGGAGTTTTTACGGCTGCAAAACAGTTCTCGAGAGTCTTTAAATATTTACTAAGTACATATTATTTAAATATTAATCCATATGAGCATCATTTAAGAATTTAGAACAACTTCTGTTCTCGATGTAGAACGTTTGGAGGTTGAGCTGCTTGTTAGCCGATTGCCAAACATAGCCTCGGTGGCGCAGTTGGCAGCGCGTAAGTCTCATAATCTTAAGGTCGTGAGTTCGAGCCTCACCCGGGGCATGTACATTTTTTTTTACTCTTTTTTATTTATTTATTATTTTTTAAATACAGCATAAAGTAAATTCAGGTGGAGAGATTTATTTGCCCATGCGCTGGATGGACCACTCTTGCTGGCACAACGGGCAGCGGTTGTTCTGCTTGACCCACAAGGACATGCAACAATGGTGGAACGAGTGGTTGCACTCGCCCCAAACCACCACACAATCCTGGCGACCCATTACATCCCGCTTGTTGTCAGCCTGGCAACGAAGGCAGGAATCTGGAAAAAATAATGAAGCAACAATCAATAATTGGGCATTAACAGATACAAAAATATAATTTTAAGAACAAATAAATTCTTTGAGTGATTTTATTTCAGCTTATAATTAGTTTATCATTGGAATGTATAAATTAGAAGGGATTAGACTTGAAACGATTTCGGCTTACTCTACTAATGTTATTAGTAGTATTTGTTTATTTTTAAATGTTAAAATTAAGTCGGTTAAGTAGGTTTTTTATAGAAACATCTTTAAATATCTTAAGTGATAAAAAAATCATATTTTGATTGGTGCATCATCAGGTGACAGCTCATTTTTCCTCTAGCGCTAGGTATTATGGAAATCGTTTTAATTGAATCAACGAGAAGGGGTGAAAAGGTCAAGTGACTTAAAAGACACTTTAAAAATAGAACTTTACGGACAAAAGTGCAAAAAGTGATCTCACAAGTGCTCTTGGCAAAACGCGTCACTTGCGACATTGAGCCACAATTAGCTGAAAATTGCAACGGTTTTAAATCTCCGTGCCCGTGACGCAAATAAATCTGTGACACCAGCAGCATTTCCTGTGAATTGATTATGGTCAAATGCTATTGACAATGTCCTCCGATTGCAGTTATTCGATATTAATGTTCTTCACCAGCGGAAATGCCTTCATTCAGAAAATATTCACACCAAAATCGGCAAAAACGTTCATTCAACAAAAGGTGGTCACATAAAAAATAAGTGCAAAGTAAATCACAATTCAGCGAGCCTTTACCCCGATTTTATTTCGGTTGTTGTTCGTGGGAGAGGTCACTGTACTGGTCGGCCCAAATTGGAACGCATCGTTTTTCACTGGCGATAAACAATTTTCTCAGAACCGCCTCCGAAATTCGACAAGTCAATGCAAAAATGGTTCAATCAGTGGCTCATTATATGTACAGAGCGAGAATTGTAAGTTTTTCTATGTGAATTTGATAATTACATAATCAGAAACAAGAATATTCGAATATTGCATGTTTTCAAATGTATCCATATAGACTTAAAAAATATTTGGTATGAAAAATATTTTTATTGGAAGTTTAAATAAAACCAATTTAAGATCTATAAAAAGCTTAATTGCTGATGACGCATAGTATTATTATTATTCTTTAAAAATATAGCTAATATGAATAAGTAATAAAATAATATGTTAGTGATTAAATGCCCAAATCATCACTCATTTTTTTTGCCGTGTAACGGGCATCACCTGAGCCGCTTGGGATACCTGGTGCAGGTGTTGGTGTTGACATTTCGAAATATGAGCTCGTCGGCAGAAATTTACAATACACCTTCGAAAATGACAATCAACAGAACAAGCAGGTAAGGTAAATGCGTCGTCGCCGGACGGCTTGTGAGGCATCACGTATACGCCGCTTTGGCTGCCGTTGCATTGCAAATTCTGCTGAGCCGGGGAAAAGTAAAAACAACGATAAATATAGCTAAGAAAAAAATTAAAAGAACAAGCGAATTGTACACCCCGCGTGAGTCAAGGAATTATGTTTTTTTTTGGTGTGAAAATCGCCTTACAATTTCCCCTGGATTTAGCACTTTTGGGGTAAGCGAAAAACGATCATGACAACAGGAAATTGTTAACATACTTCCAAGAATTTCATGATTTTGTGTAATTGAAGTAGAAGTCAATAGCCATTGGTCACGAACTAGGGCTCTAATCGGGGCTTAAATGCGTTCTATCCGCAAAAACTGCTTCACTGTTCTTTTCTTGGGTCTTTGAACTAGTAAGGGGTTTACTTTAGTTAAACAAAATGGCGTTGTTTATGGTAAATGTTTATTTAATTGATTTTAAATTTATAAATAATTGATATAGTATCTGTCAAAAGCTAATGTTGCGTTAACGATAATATTTTGATAATTATTAATGGTTTTGTTGCCTGAAACAAATGCCATTGTTTCATTTATTCACTATGTCGAATACACTTCAATGTTGCATTTTCTTGGCCGCTTTACTCCAGAATTCAATGGTAATATATGTGGTTAAATGATCTTAAGTTAATTCCTTAATCTCTTATAGGGCACTCGCTTTTTGAAATTCACTAATGTCAAGTGCATGGATCTACCTACTTCTCGTGGTTTTACTAAATACGAATACTGTAATTTAAAAGTTGTGCGCAGAAATCATGTGGAACTTTCTCTGAAGGTCAGATTGTTGCAGCTTCCTATCCGTAATTTGACCGCCAGACTACAATGCTTTCAAAGGCGGGATGGCTATCGTCCATTTATGTACAATGTGCTCTTTGATTTCTGCAAGCTGATGTCCAGTAGTAATTACGAATTAACCTTTGAACGCTTCATTTTCGGTGCCATTCGGCAGCATAGTAATTTTAATCATTCTTGTCCTTGGAAAGAGGTGAGTTAAATATTATTAATCAATCCGAATTGCAACCGAAAGTCCAAAAAATTCGGTTGGAAGAAATTAAAAGCCCAATAAATGTATTTTGGACGCACTTCCGGTATTCGTTAAGCGGATTAGGTATATTTTTTAATAAATAATATTACTCATATAATTTTGAATACTTTTTTACCGCCTGTCTTATATTTTTGCAGAACCACATGACGGTGGATAAGTTCGCCCTGGATTTAACTAAGATCAATATGCCAGTACCTGCTGGAACCTACCGCTTGGATTTCACCTTTTATGCATACGGCATCGCTCGCACATTGACACAGGTGTTTTTCGAGAAAATCGAGTAAAACTTGGCGACACAAACATGTTCCTTGTTTTTTTTCAAAGCGCCCTAGATTGCGTAAATTAAAAGCTTCCAAATACATGCCAATAAAATGGCATCTCTATTTTCAATTTACATACACCAACGATTTGATTTCCTAGCAGTAATAAAAGTCTGTGTGGCAAGTTAAAGTCAATCAAGTCAATAAACAATTACAGGCAATGGAAAATTTTTTAGAGGGCTCGGCCCGGGCACAGTGGAAAAAATAAAGTGTCCCAGGCGGTGAAAATTACATTTTTTTTATCTCAGCTCATACATAATCAATCAAAACACCGTCCGGAGGCAGTTTCCATTTAAATAAATACCAATAAGGCAAATTGATTCATTTAGGTAGAACGATATGAAATATACCCACGGTATAGTTAGTGGAAAAATATGCGCACCGAACCGAACTGCGTCATTGAAAATCTGCGAAGTTCTCGGCTCTTCAATCTATATAGTACATTTCGAGTTCAATTGCGATTGATCGTTTAGCAGGGCTGGAAAAAGGGAGGGGTTCGTCTGAGAATCTGAAAATCAAGTCGGGCGAATCGGTATTTGACTCCGTTTATTGGTCTATGCATATGCATTAGGCAAATCGACAGTTGAGCTCGAAACGAGTTAATTGCACAATATGTACTTGCCGTCAGATCGCAGACAAACGAAACGTGACAATGACGTGCCCACATCAGCCGATTTGAGCCAAGCTCACCTGACTTTGCCAGTCGGAAGCTGATCGTCTGGCTACCTGTGCTCCCTAAGTCAAGTGATCGTAGGGCACTCTATAATAATGTTTGCCCAAGAATGCAACAATATTGCAGGGCATTCAGGCAACTTATTGCGACAGCAAGTTTTGTATTTACCCTAGATTCACCTGATCTTTGATATTTATAGTTAGCATTAGGAAGCTCGAAGAAAATATATATATTTTTCGGGTTTATAATAAATCAGTTGCCTGAAATTCAAGTTTCTATATATGTACACTTTAGCTTTTATTCTGTTGTAAAATAATAAAAATCTTATAGAAATCTCTAAAGGTTTAAATCATCTAAAAATGTGCCTAAAAGTATGCTACGATTTCGCATCGGTATTTTGCGTTGGGAAGTCCTTTGGATAGAGAAGAAAAGACGAAGTTATATTTATTACAACTTACTTCTGGATAACTATTTTAAAAGTTTAAGATTTCTAGAGATTTGTATAAACGTCTGCATAACCCATATACCCCATTATCTGTAAAGTATGGCAATGGAATGGCCGGCAAACCTGTTCGACATACCTGACAATATCGTAACTGCTTCGAGTTCAGGTCTGCCGATACAAGTCGACAGCCGCCGAGTGATTAAAAATTCCAGTTTGCTGCACCTGACCAGCCGATCGCCGACTATATAGTTGGGTGAATCGGACCGGATCGGAATCGGAATTGGATTTAATCGAGTGCATATGCAAATGCAATATGTCTGGCCGTTATGCAAGTATAAGTTCAAGGTTGGCAACTGCACTAGCGGCGAATCCGTCTGGGATCGGGCCTAAATATAGCCTTTAATTCGTGGCATATAGCAAGTGCTCGAGAATTTTCGCACTTGCGACCCGGGTTTTCGACACCTCGATGGCTATTTTATCGGGGTCTCAATATCTACGCCTTATCGATGCATTCGCTCGATTTACCGACAAATTGGTCACATGCTCGACTCTATTATTCATATTATTTTTTTTATTTAATTGTGATTCGTTGCGCGTGTCACGTTGCATGTACTGCTATCTCTTTCGTTCAGACTATTCCATCTCTTTCCCCACCGCCCAACTCGTTTTGCATTTGTTGTAACGGTCTCGCTTACGTGACGTCATGCACGGGGGCCTGTCGCCCAGCAGCCAGCAAACAAAACAACAGCAACAAAAAATACGATAACAATAAAAAAATGAAAATCAACCGACGAACGTGCCCCCAAACTTGCTCTTCGTTCTCTGCTCTTTAAGTGTTTCGCTCTTGATTTGCAGCAAAACATTTTCTCTTAAGTGCATCCCATACCTTACCAGAAATAAAAACATCATTGCACTTGCTTTAGGATCAGCAATTTGTATACTGCTTTTCATAACTTTTGAAATAAATTTGAGATCAAGCCATAAATAATATTGTTGAATAAGAATTTTTATTAAGAATATTTCTGTTTTTATCATGAACTTTACTTCTGAGTAATAGGATATATATGTATATAATTCTGTCACAATTACAAATACCGTTTTGAGAAGTTTTCATAATATAAACAAGACTGTCAAATAAATAAATAATGGAAATATCCACTTGCCCCGTGGAAACTTTGTTGTGCGGGTGATGTTTTCAGCTATATCTTCAGCTAGATCACATTGCCATATCGTTTCGTGGAAAGTCGCACATGTGACCGAATTGAAGGTGCGAATGTTAGTAGACAAATGTTAATTTTTGCAGAGTGTTCGGGCGGTGAGTAAAATAATTCAGGCATTTAGAATAAATAAACAAGCTGAGAGCAAGGGGATAATGCCTTGGAAGATTACTACAAAAGTGAAGATAAATATTTTGTTATAGTTCTAAGATCAGGCAATTAGTAAGTGATCTTTGATTGGATAGACAAATAGATTCTACGATTTAGTCTCAATCACTTGATGACAAATAACTTATTCATAAACTTTACGATTCGCTTATTACTTCCTTAAAATATTTAACTCTCAGTAGAATTCTCAAAGTCAAGCATATGATGTTTTAATGGAAGTTGTATTATTTATTATTTTACTTTTCAGATTTGTATAGAACTTATTGCAACATTTTCAAGGTCATCCAAGTAGAGAATTCTGAAACCAAAAAGCCCGAACCGCTAAGAAAAATTTCGAGAACCTTTCTGCATTGCATATAGTCGACAAAATTGCACAGATACCAAATGAAAAGACGCAGCGTAGCATTTTCTGGCTTGTTCCACTTACGAGTGGGCAATATCTGGCACATTCAGATACTATATACATACAGATATCATTCGTACATGACCGATCACATGTGCAGAGATCGGAGAACGAGGCGAATACGGTGCAAACTTGAAATTTATGGCGATCACCGAAGAACCGAATCGATGGGTGGATGGAGGTTTCTCAGTGGGGGTTTCTCAAAATTAAGAGAAGTATTTCGTATTGTGAGGCAGAGACACTTTCTCACTCGCTCACACATTGAAAGATCACTTGCAAGTCGGTGAATGGAAAATTTTGATTTTCGTTTTTGTTTCAGAGGAATTTTTTTGAAATCTCTGTACTCCTGCATTTGGTCTTGCCGCTGTGAGTGAATGCCACTGGTAATTTTCCATGAAATTTTCCACTAGCCTTAAAATTGGTACTCGCACTCCCAAACATCTGTTTATAACAGATCTCTTGCATTGTCTCCCGTTATCAGTATATTTGTCTTTATAAGCCAACATAATAATACCGGATCTTGCTGACCTTGCTTTGGCTTTTTGGCACGCTTTACATAAGCCATGCGTCTCAGACAGGTGCAAAAAGGTGTCATATGAAAGGAACAGCCGATTCAAAACAGCCGAGGGTTTGAAATCTAATCCTGTACAGCTGTAGTTCCGCGAAATTAGGAACTGCACTGGAAATAAACGAAGTCAAAAAAAAATAGTTTATATCCCACAGTTTTTTTTTAATTGTTCTAAATATTGTAATTTCAACTTCTGAAAAACCTTTTTTTATTTTTGAGGCGGGGTGCTTGAACTTTCGGCACTTTCGAAAAGCATACGGATGATAAGCAGGGGTTTCCCCAGCAAAAAATTCGCAGATTCTTAAACTCCGACCTATGGCAAATATCTGGTTAGAACAGCCTTAACCCACAGACAGCCGCGTGACATTCAGACGTGGGTGTGGACTTTTGGTAAATATTGACATCTCCCATCATCCCGGGTTCAGTCCGGGGTCTTTTCGCTCCGAGCTGATCATTGCAGCACCCGTGGACGGGTTTTACAATATTTGCTTTGTCTCGATCTCGTTGCCAGCTGGAAGAATCTAATGTCATCCGTAATGGCCGTGTAATTACCCAGTTTACGATAACTGTAACTGAATTACCGGATCGCCTTTTGTAACCGTAATAATCCCGGCCGCACGCCAACGTAATTTTGTGACGGATTATTTAAGTGCAGTCGTATTTTATTAAGGGATTCTCAGAGGCTTTGCACGCATTCAAAATATTTAAACAAAATAAAAAAAAATGAAAAATAAATAAATTAAGTTGCACACTCTGGGTTTGGTGAAAATATTTAAACCAAATAAAAAAGTTGTTACAAATAAGATCAAATAGAGAGAATTCATATTACAAAATAGTTAAACTGAGAAAAAATGGTTATTTCCGAATTATTAATATAAATGGAAAAAACTAAGTAAAAGATAAATGCTCCAAAAATGTTCCTAATATAGTAAAAATATTTAGATGACACTATTGGTTTTATACTTTCAATGTTTGGCTTCAAAATATTTATAGATAAATTTGTTGTAAACAAAGAAAAGAAATTAAAAATTTTAGATAAAAAAAAAGGAAAAAAAGTTACATGCCCCGGGTGAGGCTCGAACTCACGACCTTAAGATTATGAGACTTACGCGCTGCCAACTGCGCCACCGAGGCCATGTTCTTCCCGCTGTCGGAGTGCAACTTCAAACTGGCCACGTGGCGGGTTCTCGAGGGGATTCTGATTTAGTCCATAGACTTTGGTATTGCATTTGTTTTTGCTTTTATTTTGAAAACAAACGATATCGAAATTATTTACAACGCGTTGAACATTTTTGCACGTAAGTCGAGGCTACTATTTATTACTTAGCACATAATGTGCCCTTATTATTGTTTAATTTGCACAATAAAAGGTTCTATTGACATTTTTGTGCTTCAATTATTGACTTTTATGAGAAATAGATATGCTTTGGAATGTTTGGTGCTTAATAGATGAATGTGAGTAAACTTCCAGAAAAACCTTTTTTGCATACGACAGTTAATTAACACTTTGAAAACAGTTTGATTAGTGCCAGTAGAGCAGACTATCGTACGATAGTTGATCTACCCTCTACCCCCCTTTTTAGTATTGCCAAATGGAACGTATGCATATATATTGTTTTGCCCTCTAACGAATGTGAAATATTCATGGGATTATTTATAAATAAA